ATATTTGTAGAAGACGTATTGCTAGATTTTTGAAGTGAAGGTCTAAACCAATAATATGGCCTTGGTAGTTGTGTGAGTGAGCAATATGTTTTGCAATTCTGTAATGAATAAAAATACTCACACCTGCTTGGTGTGGTGAAGAGTAGGAGCTCCAGAAACTAGTATAGTTTGGGAGTTGGCTATTGATGAATTTTTCTTCTTTGTTTGATAGATGTGTTTCAGAAAGATCCAAGATTTCGAAGGAATTATTGTTGAGAGCTTCTGAGATTGCAAGTTTTTTGTTAGCTTGAGTAAGACCATTAATGTTTAAAGAGGCAATTTTGACCAGAAGTAAAGCATATTCAAGGATAGAAGGGGAGTTTGATGTGTGGTAGTTTGATGGTTGATTTAAAGAGAGTTCACAGGTTTGCAAAGATGGTATATTTGTTGAGTAGTGAGATTTGAAAGGAATGTTTTGAAAGTTAGAAAGGTTTTTAAAAAGAAGTAGGAAGTGATTAGGTAGAAGAGAGGTTTCATGTAGTAGGTATATATGTACTTCTTCAGGGTTATGTTTGGTTTTTGTTTGAACAAAAATTTTGATATAGTGTTTGAAAAAGAAAGTTGGGTAGTTTGATTTAATAAAATGTATAAAGGAAGCAAGTGTTTGTGGTGAAGGTAGAGGTTGGAGTTTGTAATGGGATAAAAATTTGTTATAGCATGTTGTATGATTATAAAGATCAAGTAGATTAGAAAGAGGGGGTTAGTAGATTTGCCTGATATAGTGTTTGTAGTTGGAGATGTATTGTCATTATCTGAGTCTTCAGGGGAATAGTTTTTGGAAGGTTTGAATATGGGTGTAGAGATGTTTATAAAAATAGATAGAATAGTAACTTTTTTGGATGTTGTAAAGAATGTGCTTTGAGAGGGAGTCTTAGCAGGATTTGATGAGTTGAAAGCTAAGACTTTTTGAGTTCCTTCTATAGAGTTACTCACCGTATGCCCGGCTTTCACGGCTGTGCAAGAGACCAGAGTCTGCTCTGTACGTTGAGTCTGACCGTTATTAATTGGTTCTTCCATGTATTTTTTCAATATTAATTTTTAGTATAACTAAATTGTTCTTTTTTTTAAATTTATTTAGACTTTCTATTGAAATGTTCTTATATTTTTTTAATCAATCTCTATTTAAACTAATTGTTATAACGTTCAGTTTTTTTTTTTATCAATAGAAATGTCATAATATTAATTTAATTAATATTTCTATCTTATAAGCTGTTTGTTTTGTAAAGATATACGAAGTTTTAATTAATTTGGATAAACATTAAAATTTTCGAATTTTTTTTAAGGAATAATATGTCATGAACTGTATCAGGATCTAACTGATTTCTTTTATCAGTGATCATATTACCCGCATCTGAAAAAATTCTTTTCAAGGGAACTGATGTAGCCAGAAAAGCCAAAAATTTTCACGCTTGTTGAGAGAGAAAGGGAAACATTGTTTTGCGTTTATTCTACCAGGTTAATAGATTAACTTTTCTATACTCTTCATCTATTATGTGATATTTAGGAATTTGTAGTAGGATTTCATAAAGAGCTATTTCTTTTTCAATTAATAAAATATTTTCATTATCACTTATATCATCATCATCATTGTAAAAAGAAGCAAAAAAAAGAAGAGGTATTAGTATTTGAAGGTTGGATTTCTTGGTTTAAAGTTGATTGCTCTTGTCTATTAAATAAAGTATAAAGATAAGAAATTGTTTCTCTTTTTTTTACTAGGCGTTATGTAATTCATTTTTTTAAATCTTGGGACTAAAAAGGTAGCTATTAGACTATTTAGTGATGGTTCAGACCACCTTGATAGCATCAATTTATTTATTTTATAGCAACAGGCTTTTACTATAGATTACATGATTCTTGGATAAAAATCTTGTAAATAACAGGAAAGCTTAATAAGAGTGAGTATCATCATTTCTAAGGTTAGGTATTGACTTCCTTCAATATATCCAGTTGCTTGTGCAAAAGGATGTAGAAGTTTTGATAATTCATCTAATGAATTCCATTCCTCTGCTGACAAGAGAAGTTTTGTTCCATCTTGTCTTTCTTGTCAGTTAACACTTTGTTTTAGATCACTAGCCAATCACATAATAGCATAATGAAGAAGAAGAAGATTATTTAAAAGATTATATGTTGAATTCCAACATGTTTGAGTATCACTTCAAAGAGAATTAACTAGATGCCCTGGGTTTAATTCAGCTTGCAATTTAAGGAGTTTTTCATAGTATTTATCTTGACCAACATAACTATTTAATGCCTTTGTTTTATTAATCAAATTACTAATTTCTATAACACCAAATCTATCCCCTAAAGGGAGTTGAATTGTGTGTGCCGTGCAATCTATATATTGTTTTACAATTACTATTATTATATACGTATAATTTTATATAATATTGCATAAGTAAAATTCATGTAATTTTTATTATTGTTTGATAAATATATATGGTGACAGAAGCATACTCAAAAATCATGAAAAATGTTTCAATTTTCTTGTGATTATGGTTGACTAATAAAGTTAATATATTTCAACTTACTGTATTTGTTAAAATGTTAAAACTTTTTACAAACAAATTGTTTATAAAATTTAACTGATAACTTTATACACAAAACCGAGGTCTACAAAGTTAATGGTTAGTTTTTTAAAAAATTTTTTTATAGAAAGTTATAACAATTGAAAAATAACCAAATTTCATATTTGTATAACTTTATAGAAGAACTTTTTTAAAAAACTGATCATTACTTTGTAAAGCTCAGTCTAGTGTATAAAGTTTTTTTGTTGTAGTATATTGAAATATATATAATTTTATTGGCCAGCCACAGTGATGAGAAATTAAAAACATTTCTGTAATTGTTGAGTTTTATATTAGTAACTGACCATTTTGCTCTTAAGTGGTTACGTACAACCAAATCTAAAAGACAAATTGCCTGATGGATACTCAAACTTCAACTATATAATTTCGAAATTGTTCACAAACCTGGATGAATTCATTCTAATATTGATGCCTTATCTTGCTTACTGACCTAGACAAATACTACCCTATTACTATAAATTTAGATCGCTATAGATTTATATAACTATATAGAAACAGACAAAGTATCTAATGATTTTACAAATGAAGCTAAAAGACAATTAATTAGACAAGCTAGATATTTTCAAACTAAACATAAACTATTGTATAAGAAAAATAGAAAAGACCCAAAACACCCTCTTCGAGTTGTTAAATAGACTGAAGTAGAACCTATCTTGTATATAATACACAAACACCCTACTGCTAGACATTTAGGGAATAACGCTATGTACTATAAAATATCTGAACAATACTATTAGAACCAAATATATCAAGATATCCAAGACTATGTATGAACCTGTACCCAATGTCAACTCAGAAAAAAGAAAATTAGAAAAGAACTTCTCTATCCTATTTAAATTGAACAAGCTTTTGAACATATTGGAATTGATCTTGTAGAACTCTTGCTGATAACTCAGCAAAATAATTGCTATATTATTGTTGCAACCAAATACCTTACTCGATAGCCAAAAGCCAAAGCAGTACCAGATGCAGGTGCTAATACACTTGCAAAATTCATATTCGAAGACATTGTATGTAGGTATAGAACTTCTAAAGTTATTCTTTTTGATCAAGAATAAAACTTTATTAGTAAAACTATACAAATCTTATATAAACGATTCTTGATTAAATATAAGTTCTCTTCTCCATACTATTTACAAACTAATAGAATAGTAGAAAGATTCAACTAGACCTTATATAAATTACTAGCTAAGGTTAAAGGAACAGATAACTGGGATATTCATATCCCTGCCGTATTGTTAGTATATTAGACAAAGAGACATGCTACTACTGGTTATACCCCATTCTAACTTGTTTATGACCAACAAGCCACTTTGCCTATTAAGACTCTTATTCCACTAGAACCAACAGCTGCTTATGAAGATATTAATTTACAAGACAGTATTCTAACCCAAGCATATAAACTAATTGAAAATTTACCAACACTTCAAGAGAATACAAAGAAAAATACTGAGAAATCCCAGGAAAAACAAAAAAAATATTTTGATTTATGAATATGTATAGAAGAATTTAATATAGGAGACAAAGTATGGATATAATAAAAAGACATTAAGATGTCATGTTCTGCTAAATTTGAAAATAAATGAATAGGACCTTTTATTATCCATAAGAAATTAGAAAATCAAGCTTACAAGTTACGAATTGTAGAAGAAAAAATCTTACAGAAATATTATAATAGTAATTGACTTGCAAAATATTACAAAGCACAAATATGAAAACCAATAGTTGTTGTAGAAAATCGCGAATTTCCAGAAGAAATTTTGTTAGATGGGGAGTAATACAAGAAAATTTCTTGTAAATAAATGTATAACCCCAAAAGATATATATATAGCTAACCAAATACCCCAATTGAATTTTTTCTAATTTTACCAATTAAAGAAATGGAACACACTACACTACAACCTAATACCATTCAAGCATTATATCACTTCTTCTCTGTTTGAAAACAGGACCCTGCATCTCGTTATATCTTAGGAATTTCAGATTCTAATACACTTCTCTAGAATAATAACCAACCCGACCAATATGTTGACATTACTCTACAAATTGAAACTACCATTTTAAATGAAATTGATGATTTACTTGAAACTACTAATATTTCGAGTAATTTAATATCTCTTCAAGCAGACACTACCGAGAGTTCTGTTATCACACAACTCAAAGAAGATTTAAATCAAACTCTGCATCTCCAGTAAAATAGCTGTACCAATCCATATATCACTATGGAGTGAAAAATTCAGGTTAACAAAATTTTAAAGGCTTTACTACAATATAGCAAATCTTATAAAAACTGAATTATTACTATCCATACAAACAAAAAAAATGCTTTCATTAGCCAAAAATACCAACAATATTTACTTACCAATCCACTTACCTTCAATTTACCTACTTTTACTAACATAATTCAAAAAGTTAGCATATCTAATACTGAACGTACCTTTAATACCTCTTCACTTCTTCATAATATTGGTATTATTCGAATTAAGTCCTGGCTAACAAAAATATGGCACCCGAAACTCACTGAAGA